GAGCGCCGTCGGGAGCGGGCTGGCGTTAGCCATCTTGCTCTTGAGCCAGCACGTGCTGCTGTGGGTGATCCAGCCGACGCAGCCGCTTTGCTTGGTGCATGCGTCGCAGCAGGCGTCGGCCCTGGCCTGGTCCGAGCCCGTGACCGTGAAGCTACGGATGTCGTTGCCGGGGTAGTCGGTGCCACGTGTGATCGCCGAGCAGGTGTCGGACGTCGGGAGCGGTGCAGCGTACGTCCCAGCGAGCGCCGTTGGGAGCGGGCTGGCGTTAGCCATCTTGCTCTTGAGCCAGCACGTGCTGCTCGTGGGTGATCCAGCCGACGCAGCCGCTTTGCTTGGTGCATGCGTCGCAGCAGGCGTCGGCCCTGGCCTGGTCCGAGCCCGTGACCGTGAAGCTACGGATGTCGTTGCCGGGGTAGTCGGTGCCACGTGTGATCGCCGAGCAGGTGTCGGACGTCGGGAGCGGTGCAGCGTACGTCCCAGCGAGCGCCGTCGGGAGCGGGCTGGCGTTAGCCATCTTGCGCTTGAGCCAGCACGTGTTGCTGTGGGTGATCCAGCCGACGCAGCCGTTCTGCTTGGTGCATGCGTCGCAGCAGGCGTCGGCCCTGGCCTGGTCCGAGCCCGTGACCGTGAAGCTGCGGATGTCGTTGCCAGGGTAGTCGGTGCCACGTGTGATCGCCGAGCACGTGTCGGACGTCGGAAGCGGCGCCGTGAAGGTACCGGCCATCGCACCAATCTTCGTCCCCGACTTGACCCACGCCTTCTTGAGCCAGCATGTGTTGCTGTGTGTCACGAAGCCAACACAGCCGTCCTGCTTGGAGCACGCGTCACAGCATTTGCTCGTCTGATCTTGCGGTGACCCCTTGACCGCAAAGTCTCGGATGTCATTGCCACTGTAGTCGACGTCCTGGATGAGGTTGCCGCACGTCTCAGACTTGATCTTGGGCTGCGTGTACTTGCCCGAGAGCAAGCCCGTGTCGGCGCCAGAGTAGACCATTTTGTGCTTGAGGTAGCACGTGTTGCCATTGACGACCCAGCCAATGCAGCTGATCGTGTTGGAGCACGCGTCGCAGCAAAGGTCGGCTTGGGCTTGGTCGTTGCCCTTGACAGTGAGCGACCGAATGTCGTTGCCCGCGTAGTCGATGTCGCGCTTAAGACTCGAGCAGGTCTCGGACGTGAACGAGTACGTCCCCGACATGAGGCCGGCTTTGTAGCCGGACTGCACCATCTTGCTCTTCATGTAGCATGTCTTGGAGTTGACGACAAAGCCAGCGCAGCCGTCCTTGTTGGCACACGCGTCGCAGCACGCCGAATACTGCGCCTGGTCCGTGCCCGACACCTTGATGCTTGCAATGTCGTTGCCGGGGTAGTCGTAGTTGTGGACGACGTTGGCGCATACGCCCGCATCGAGCGTTTGGGCGTGGACGGTCACGCCAAGCGCCACAAGAAGACCTGAGACCCAACGCATGCGCGCTTCTTGCTTGGTCGTGAAGGAGAAAAGCAACACTGCGCTGTCGAGGTTGGCTGCTTGCAATCGGCAAAGCCAGAGGCCAAGATAGATTAGTGTGCTCGCTTGTATGCAGATGGATTCGAAGGAGGCTTGCTTCCACGAGTCGCGCGCTTAAGGTTCCAAGATTGCGTCGACGGTGGTCAAGTATGCAGCTGCGACTCTGCGGTTTCAATGCCGACGGCTTGAACACGACAAAAGGTCGTCGTTGTTTACTACTGTATGCGCCTGTCGAAAAAGAGGTGGTGACAAGGAGGGGACGTGGGTTCTCGACTGGTGGCGCAGCGTCGCGACGTCAGACGCAAGAAATTGGCACCGTGATGTGCCTTGAACCGACATGCTCTATCCGAAGAGCGGGATGCTCACAGGCACGACTGCTTGGAAGTGTAGGGACGCCTCGTCTTTATTCCAAAAAAACACTTGTGTACAGAGAGTCTACGCAGCAATCTCCCCGTCGTCCCCTTGCTTGTTGTACTGGTGTGGCTCTACTATAGGGGCCACAGAGCTGGTTGAGGCCATAAACAACGATGCAGATATCGACCATGGTCTGTACGAGCATGCCGGTGCGACCGGCTTCGTCAGCTTCAAAAGACACCTTCATGCGCTGATACCACCTCGTCACATGTCCGTACTAGTGCTCGTATTTGAGGCGTCTCCATATCCTTTCTAACGTCAAGAGTACATGTAGAGTGGCTTGGCTTCTTTCCGCAGTCGGCGTCCGTCTAGACTGTGCTTGCGCCATCAATGTAGTTGATGATTATTGATGTAAAACACACCGTGTGCATGTAGCTACCACGTGGCGTTGTGCTGCACGTCGACGAGGTGCTTCCTTCTCACTCGATCGTAATCGGCAGGTCCTTGAGCACCTTGATGTTGTACACAAGGGCGGTCACATCGCTCAGATTTTCATCGACGAGGTGCATATGGTGGTCGCCGTCCTGCACCACCATGTAGCGTCCCGTGCTGGCGCTGGGCTCGCTCGGAAGTTTCATGGACTGCATCGCGGTCCGGTTGGTCGTGGCCGCGGACCAAGTACTTTTTTTTGGCGCGGAGTTCCTTCTCGGGCAGGCCAAACATAATCATGTGGCTCATAAAGAACCACTGCAGCGTGCTCAGTCGTCGCGCCTTGCAATGGAGCACCACCGCCGCGCCGTCCATGTCGATGCCGTCGAGGTCGTCGCATAGAATCGAGCTGCTGTTGAAGATGGCTTGGTGCGCGAGCGAGTTCTTGGACACGCGCTGCCAGTAGTTGAAGTGCACCATATGGTCCAACGCAGCAATCAAGAGGACGTTGACCACGAGACCGACTGCGATGGCGGGTACGGCGCGGATGTAGTAGCTCTCGAACGCATCAACGTGGATCGTATCGAGGCACTCGTTGGGGTTGTTGAGTGTCATGGTGACGCTGCTGTTGTAATCGATGAACGCCGGTACATAAAAGAGCAAGATCGCACTCATGTAGAGCGACGTGACGTTGCGAAGGTTCAGAAACGCCATGAGGGCACTCTCGCCATTGAAGCTCGCCGACCCAATGACGTGCCAGAGGATCTTAAGCAGCTTGAGGAGCGCGCAGTTAAACCACAGCAGTCGCGTCGTAAACCCGTAGAGCTGCATCGAGTAGCGAAAAATGGGCGCCGGCGCGTTGTACATGTTCATCGTCTTGAGGTAGTACAAGCTGTTTTCCATGTCAAGAATGACGCCGGTCGCAAACAAAAAGACAAAAATGTCGGAATTGTAGCAAAACATGTCAAAGCGAAGCGCGCAACTTGGGTAAGGAAACACTTTTGGCGACAAAATCCGCAGAATTTTGGCAAAAATCGAGTCGAGCTTGGTCGCGTCAAACTCTTTCCACTGCACCGTCCGACGGCTCGCCAGGTACCCGCCCACCGCAAACACGATCGCAGTCGCTTTCACGTAGTGGGACGCCGATGAAAACATCGACTGCGGCAACAACAAGCCGACCTTGTAGACGGACCCGATCAGGTTGGCACTCTTCGTCACGCTGACCACTTTGGCCGAGTCGTTGTACACAAACGTCATGTTGCACGACCCAAACCCAAGCTCGGCGACCGTGTGGCACCCGGTGCAAAAGCTCTTTGGAAAAATCCGGTAAAATTGCACAGTGTGGGTCTGGGCCGCCAATGTGTTGGTCAAGACAAGGTCTTGTATCAAGCGAACGTCGACGTTGGTGCGTGCGGGGGCATACCCGAGGTTCGTCAACGCTGCCGACTTCATGCTCGCGTTCGCCAAGTTGTCGGATCGATCCGACGTGAACGCATGGCTGAGCGCATTTCCGCGGATGTACATGATCGAGTTGGACGCAAAGCCAAGGCGGGCGGTGTGCGTGACACTCAAGTCGAGCGGGTACACGCCTTTCATGAGGCCGCAGACGTCGACGGCGCCGGACGTTAGCGTTTACGTGCCGCCTGAGAGCAAGTACATTTCCGGGCTACGTGACACCATGCTCGTCACGGTGAAATTGAGCATCCAGCTGGCGATACGCGAGAGGTCCGAAATGCTATGGTGCAGCGCAAAGCTGTACTCGCTCTCGAGCTGCCGTGCATTGTCGACGCGACCGAGTGGTGACACAAAGGCGTGGCCGTTCCCGACAAAGTCGTTGACCGCCCAGTTGTTGACGGTCGCGTCGACTGAGACGAGGACGAGTATGCCAATGCCCAGTAGAAGCACAATGGCTTGCACGGCATGGTCGCACCATTCCCGCAGCGACGTGGCCTTGAGCTTGACGAGGACTGGACCGAGTGGTTGCTGCATGCGTCGAAGTAGAACTGGCGGCGCGGGAACCAAAAAACTAGTAAGTCTTTTTTCAATCGGGCCTTTTTATAGTTGGGAAACTGCAACGCATGCAATGCGCAACCGCTTCTCATTGTGACTCCTCCGTGGCGCTATGGCCACGAGCAGGGCTTGAATGATCTGTGTTTCGTTGCCGCTGATGCGCAACGTGTCCCCTATCCGCTTCGTTGCCGTGGGCGACACAACGGGCTTGCAGCTGGCTTGCAGAGTTGAGCTATATAGGGCGTTTTAGCGTTTCGGTAGACAAGCCGCTGAAGTTTTTTGGAGGAGCGGCAAAACCGCGAGTAGTTTCGATTTTGACGTCTGCCTGCTTCGTCTTGACCCGGCTCCTCGCTACTCGGCGGGCAGACGAGGTAATCTACCTCCTCCTTTGCCCACTTTGCCTAACACACGCGCGACTTATTGAAATTGTACTACCGACGACCTCCTCGCGATGAACCAAGAAACGACGAACGACTGCCTCGCAAGTGCGCGAGGGCATGTCGTTGTCTCGCTGCGTTTCCAGATGTATTTGGCATGTGCCGAATCCTCAAGTTGGTAGTCAGGAAGAAACGACAGGCATTGATCCAGCGACTCTGCGGGCGTGCTCAGGGGGATGACAATGGCCGCCCGTTTTGGCCGGCAGCCAATGACGTATCGTTACAGGCCGTGACGCGCACTGGGCATTTTTATTTGAAAAATAATATCTCGGCATTTGTATGTAACATATCCAATATTGCAAGCACAACTTTTTTTATTTTCAGATAATGGGGTGCTGAACAGGTCTCCTATTCGCACGATTATATGACGCTGGAGCTTGAAAAAAGTATAAAATCACCTTTTCTTAATTTGGTCATGCAAATCAAATGCTGCAGCGCCACTGCTACGCTACCTTGGCCAGCAGAGCGGATTCCGTGTGGCGCGAGCGCACTGGTCGGTTCTCAACCATCAGCGGATCTTGGGCAACTGCACGCTTGCGCTTGCTCCTAACTGTTGCCCGTGAGCGCTTGACGGGGTCGTCGTCTGACGTCAAATGCCAGCGGCGCATGGCTTCGAACGACTTGTTGTACTCCCCGTCGGAGTAGACGACCTTGCGGTTGTGCGGTAGCTGAAGGCTGTGGTGATGCGTAATCAAGACCTTCTTCAAAGCGTTCTCTGCGCCGTCCGCGGTGCCCTTGCCGCAGCTTGCGCGGCCCTCGCGGCCCGTCACAGCGTTGAACTCGGAAAAGCTCGACTCGACGTTCATGGATGCGCAGAAGCGGTCGTTGGAGACCGGGAGGCGGGCTTCGATTGGCGTCGCATTGTCGTAGGCGACGTTCGTTGGATGCACCGCCAAGGTAGCGGCGCGGATGCGATATCCATGGCCAAGCAGATAGAGCGCCTCGATCAGAGCGCTCGGGAAGGCCTCACGCCACTGCTCGGAACTCTTCGAGAGTGCCGGTAAGTGACTACCCATCGGCCCACCGTACATGGTGGCCTTGGCAATCGGATCGAGCCACTCGTAGAAGGCGTCAATGTACGCGAGCCGAGTCGAGTCCGACAAGCCGGCCGCATCAAACACCGAGAGGAAGTTGCGCCAAAGCAAGCAGAGATCGGCCTCCTTGACCCAGCCGTTGTCGCGCAACCATTTCTCAACGGCGGCCGAGAAGAAGATGCGTGCACGAGGTACGTTCTGCTTGTCGCGCAGGTCCGTAAACCACGAGGGATGCAAGATGGACTCGGGCACTGCACGCCACGCCTTGGCGTTGAAGCTGTGCGCAAACCCCATGCTCGCATGGGTCACAAACCGTTTGAGCACGTGGTCGGGGTCAATGTTGCGCGTGTTGGGCAGACTCGGAAAGTTGTCGTTGGGTTCGGGCACGTAGATGTTCTGGTACATGTTGCAATCCTGGTCGGCCAAGACGGACATCTCATGGTCGAAGGTCAACATCATCAACCATTTGCGCTTCAGGGCCACCACGCATACGGTCGGATTGACTGCGAGATGCGTAAGCATCGTTGCGACCCAGAGCAGTCGAGTCTTGTCGTGCTGCGGTGCGCAGCTTTCGAGATCGGCTACCTTGGTAGACAAGACGTCGTCAAACTTCTGGTCCCCGCGTCCAAGAACGGGCTTCTTCTTGGTGACCATTGTCTCCTTGTGTTGGATACCGAGGTTGCTATCGTAGTACGTCATGCTTGTCGTTGTCCCCGCTAGAAGCCACGGTGCCGCACGCGTCGACAGACAAAAGTCGGTGCAAAGGTCTTCAATGCCAGCGACGACAGCCCCCGGTTCCGTAAGCGCGTTGACTTCGTCGCGAACGTTGCGCCAGAGCTGCGTCACCATGGTAGGCCGCTTGTTGCCTTGAATGGTCGTCTGATGCGACGCACCGTCGCAGCTAATGTGCACGACCGGCACATCACGCGTGGCAAGCTCCTGCACGAGTATGTTGCCAAGCTGGCGAGCGACAGTGTTGGTGGCCGACTTGACAAACAAGTGCATGACGATGCAGTTGGACATGCGCTGCGAGTCTGAGAGCACCCACAACTGAATCTTCAGCGATCGTTCTGCCGTCATGAGCGACACCGCGATGTACGTATCGCGAATTTCGTCCAAGAGGGTCTTGAGCGACTTGATGTCTTCTTCGGTAAGTCGCGTCGAGCTTGCTGTAGCGCTGCTGCAAAACGCGCTCTTGTTAGTTTTGTAGTCATTGGCTACGGCTTCACAACGCTGCGACATGGCATCGAACGCTGCAAGGTTGACGTCAATGTCCTTGATCGCAGTGAGCATATGAGCGTTCTGCTTGGGCAATGTGGTCGTCGCGAGCTTCGCGGATTTGCCTTCTCGCTTCCCGACTGCCTCGGTTCGCATTGCAAGGATGCTGGTAGCCTTGGTTGCCATCTCGTCCATGAATTCATCGAGGTCGCTCCATGCCTTCAGGTTGGTCCAAGGCAGCACCAGCAATCGGGCATGGTACAGCTGGATGGTCGTCTCCACGTCTGCAAGCTCGGCCTGAATGCCCACGACTTCCTGTCCGTCTATGTGCAGCTCCTCTGCCATGCCGCCGTAGTCCACAGCACCGATGATGCGACCGTCTGGGCGTCGAGAGATACTCGTGATGCCATAGTCCGTCTCGTCGAAGCTAAGACCAGCGACCAAAAGACGTCCCGGCGCATCAGCGCGATCCTCCAGCATGGCCTGCTTGTTGAGAAAAGCTTGGTTGGTGTGAAACGTGGCAGCGGCACGGCCGAGCAAATCTGGGGAGATACCGCATTGGAATGGCGTGTTGGCGACGCAGCGCTGCAAGGTGCGCAACGACGGCAGCTGCAGGTGACCGTTCCAGCTTCCCACAAATTTCTGACGATCAAAGCCAAGACCTGTGACGAGCTCGTAGACGCGGCGGCCACCGATGGCAAAGAGGAGTTTACACCAGTCGTAGATCTTGGATGAGAAGATGCGGCAACAGTTGCCCGAGTACCGGCCTTTGAGCGAGAGGAACGTGAGCTGGGAGTGCAATAGGTCGTGAAAGAAGAGACCCGGCTTGAGGTGCCGAGTCAAAGCCGTCAAGCAAAGTGTCGCCATGTCGACGGCGGGGTTCGTCGCCATGTACACACGGTGCAATTCGAGGAGTCGCAGCTCAGCGTCACTGCGTGACACGATGGCCTCGAGTTGCTCGACCTGGCTCTGGAGCCTTTCGTTGTCTTTCCGCCAAAATGTGCTAGTGGACATTGCATACACCATGGAGTCTCGACTTCGCGACGGCGCCAAGGTGAGCAGTTCTATCAAGCCCCGTCGCAGGCATAGACAGGCGCCGAAAAGTTGGGTGTTTTTGACTTCAAGTTGGGAAGCCCATGTGCTTCCTGCGTTTTCATTGGCCCACTTGCGCCAATCCGCAGAAAGGGCAATCTCCCGACAAGGGGCGCGCCACAAGAACGTTCGCCTCCTTCTTTCCCGTGGTCGTCCACTGACTGCTGCTGCTTGGTCATGGCTCCGTGCGCCCACGAAGAGACGCCGGCCATGCTCTCGGTGGGCCTCCGCGGCGACGCGACGGCCGCCTTTGTACACGCGCTCACCAACAAGCCGCCGGTCTGTCGCCGGCTCGCGCCGTGGCGCCATACACACGTGCACATCTACCGCCACGGCGGCGCGCTCCAGGCTCGCGCCGGCGGCCGGCCCGTCGACGCCATCCACGATGAAAACGGACGCCACTGGACGCGCGTGCGCTCGGTGAGCCTCGTCGACGACCCGCACTTGCTCTTGCCCCTCCATGCCGCCCTTGTCGTACCGTCCGAGAAGGACCTCGCGCTGCGCCAGCTGTGCACACTGCCACCGCCGACGTGGAATGCACACGAGGCACCGCAGATGCGTGTCTTGCAGTCGTTTGATCCCAACCCGACTGGCGCAGCGTGCGCAACGCTGCGCGGCGGCGTCGCCGTCGGTGCCATTACCCACGGCGTCTTGCGCGTCGGCGACATTGTCGAGCTCCGCCCAGGACGCTTTCTTCGGGATCCGTTGAGCAAGCGGCTTCGCTGCACGCCACTACGCACGCGCATCACGGCGCTCACGGTCGCGAGCACGGCCGTTGCCGAGGCCGGCCCGAGCGCGCTCGTTCGCATCGCGACGACGCTCGACCCGACGCTGACACGGGCGCACCGGCTCATGGGACAAGTGCTCGGTCTCCCGGGGACACTGCCGCCCATCTATATGGCGCTAACCGTGGTTATGGGTGTCGGCGCCCGCTCGATTGTGCCAAGGATGTTGTGCGCGTTCACATTGGCGCCACGACGGTCGACGCGTCGGTCGTGTCGCTGGCGAGCGACCGCGTCCAGCTCGTGCTCGCTGCGCCTGTGTGTGCTCACGCAGGCGAAGCCATTGTGCTCACGCGCCGACGCCACGCCCGGTGGCTGACGCTGGGCCATGGAACGCTGGCGGAGGGCGAAGTGGCCGACATGACGGACGCCTGACTCGCAGTTGCCTCGTGTTGTTGCATTTCTCGCCTCCGTTTCTGCCCACGACGACGCTGGTCGATAAGACGAGCAACACGATGGCGTATCGATCGGTTTATTCTTTTACAGGGTTTACTGAGTAAACCCTGCGCAGTAAACTTTACTGCGCGTCCATTGTCATAGGTGTCAGTGCGGCGTCCCATGAGACGGCTACGTGTCCTTGGACCTGCAGGTTGTAGATTGCAGTGGGTAGTGGGGCACTAAACGCATTGCCTTCCAAGCGTCTACGTTTGCCGTCAAGAAGGCGGTTGGTTCCATGCTGGACCGACGTACAGCACTTCAAGCGATGAGAGTGTGTTCAAGCTTGGTGGCACAAGGCCCGTCAATGCGTTCTGGTCCAATCGCAACACGCGCAGCGCGCCGAGGCGCCCAAGTGTCGACGGCACGCTCTGTGTGAGCGCATTCGAGCTCACGTCTCTATGAGAGTCCATGAGAGGTCGTCATTTGAGTCGGTTTGTACAGTTCTTCTAGGGCCAAGAGACGCGCAAAGGCCGGCGGGAGGTAGCCTGTGAGTCCATTGTTCGCGAGGCGCCTACGTGGATATCGAGTCGAATGGAAAGAATTGTCGATTTACAAAAGCACAATGTGGCCTTGACAGTTGCAGTGCACGCCATACCACTATTTGATTGCAGCATCATGAGTGCATCCGAATCGACGAAGACGCATACGTTGTCCCGGCACGGATCGCTGACGACATCGCTGATGGGCCACGACTGCTTCCACGACGGCCCACCTGTCGCCCAGTACAGCATGGCAAGCGCTCCTCTGTCGTTCAGCGTCACAAGACCGCCTCTGCCATCGCAAGCGGTCACAGCGTCAAGCAGCAGCATTGAGATAGCTCCTTTGATACGCATCATGTATGACTGTGAGGTATGCACCTCTAAAAATATGCCACCCACTCAATACCCTATCCGGGTTTCAAAAATGGATAGATGGAAAGATAGATAGATAGATAGATAGATAGATAGATAGATAGATAGATAGATAGATAGATAGATAGATAGATAGATATTACATACAGACGATCATTCGAAATACACTACTGAATCGTCACGGTCGTGTCCTTGAGCACCTTGATGTTGTACACGAGCGCGGTCACGTCCGAGAAGGTGCTATCGACCAGGTGCACGTTGCGGTCCGAGTCTTGGAGGACCATACACTTGGCTTCGCTCCCAGCGCTCGACTCGTCTTTCGTTGTCGCTGACGACTGCAGCATGCGTTTCTTGAGCCGCAGCTGCTTCTCGGGGAGGCCAAAGCAGATCAAGTGGCTCATGAAAAACCACTGGAGCGTGCTGAGGCGGCGCGCCCTGCAGATCAGAATCGTGGCGCCATCGCCGTCGACTTGAATGCCGTGCAAGTAATCGCACACGATCGAGCTGCTGTTAAACATGGCTTGACGCGCAAGTGAGTTTTGCGCAAGCTGGCGCCACCTCGCGCGGTGCCACAATTGGTCGAGCAGCGTGACGAGGAGGACGTTGACCAAAACGCCGATCGCGATCGCCGGCGTGGTGCGGAGGTAGTAGCCGTCGAGCGCATCGACGAAGAGCGTGTCGAGGTTCGAAACCTCATGGTTGACGTCGACGGTGACGCTGTTGCTGTAGTCAATGTACGTCGGAATATACGCGAGCACGATCGCGCTGAGGTACAGCGACGTGACATTGGTCCAATTCAAGTAGCCCATGAGGACGCTTTCGCCGTTGAAGGTCGCAGTACTCACGATACTCCACGCGATCTTGAGCAGCTTGAGGCACGCGCAGTTGAACCAGAGCAGGCGCGTCGTGAGCGCATACATTTGAAACGTATGCGTCCATCGTGGCGCGGGGTCGGCGTACGCGGAAATGTGCCGTAAAAACAAGAGGCAGTTGCCCATGTCGAGGACGACGCTGGTCGCAAACAAAAAGACAAACGCGTCGGAATTGTAGCAAAACATGTCGAAGCGCAGCGCGACACTCGGGTACGGAAAGCACTTGGGCGAAATCATGCGCACAAGCTTGGCCACCATCGAGTCGGAGCCATTCGCTTCTTGCCACTGCACCGTGCGGCGACTGGCCAAGTACCCGCCAAGCGCAAAGAGGATCGCAATCGCTTTCACATAGTGCGACGCGGTCGAAAAGCTCGTGTGGGGCAGCATCATGCCGAGGTGGTAGTCGGCGCCGACGAGGTTGGACGCGGTGGTGATGGTAAGCACTTGGCGACGCGCGTCGTAAACACTGGTGATGTTGCACGTGCCGTACCCAATCTCCGCGATCGGGTTGCACCCGGTGCAGTACGATTTCGGACTCACGCGAAAAAAGTTGAGGAGCTGCGAATTCGGCGTCGAGCTGTTGGAAAAATTTGTCTCGGTCGTGAGACGGAGGTCCACAAGGTGCCGACCCGCCGTGTACCCAAGCGCGTTGAGATCGCCCATGGACATGCTGTCATTCGCCAAGTTGACGGCGCCATCACCCGTAAACATGTGGGTGAGCGCCGACCCGCGGAAGAATGTGACCGTGTTGCTGGCAAGGCCGAGCCGGCGCTTGGTGAGCGTCGGGAGCGCATACTCGCCTTGGAACGCGTCGCACAAGTTGATCGCTGGCGTCATTGCAAAGACGCCGCCCCACACGAGGTAGACATCGTTGCTCTTGGTTGCAAGGGCCGCCATGGTATAGTTGACCATCCAGTTGCCGATGCGGGAAATGTCGGTGGTGGACGCGCCCCGCATGAACGTGTACGTAGCATCCAAGTCGGTGACCGATCGCATGCCTGTGATTGGCGTAAGGAAGCGGTACGCGTTCCCGAGGTAGTCGTTCACGGCCCAGTTGTTGAGAATCGAGTCGGTCGCGACAAGACCAATGATCGCGAGCCCCACGAGACGCACGCCGGCTTGAAAGAACGCGCCTTTGCGAGAAACGAGACGCGACTTGATAGGGACGACGACGCTCTGGGATGGACCATCGGGGAGCACGGGCAAGTCCATCGCTCGCTCGCGCGTCGTCGATGTTGCCGCACCGAGGTCGTTGCAAAGTGCAACCTGATCAGGAACGCAAGGGAAGGAAAAGTGTCGCGCGTGGGACGACCAACGTGCGCTCCATCGAAAGCTCTCTGTATAAATAGCCCCCTAGAATCCATCCCTTTCCAACCAATACCAAAAGAATTGGCGGCCCGAGACGCGGAGAGCATCCTTGAATTTGGCACATCGTGTCGTGGCGAAGATGCGGTGGGCGTATAGTCGTGTGTACCACACCGGAGCTTCGGACCGTTGACAGCATATCCTTGCCCCGCCATGTTTTTGGCGGGAAGGCGAAACGGCTCCCGATCGAAGACGGTTATTGGCATAGTGGGGGGGGCGTGTGCGACATTGGATGGTCCGAATTGGTGTCGCTAAAGGAGTTGATGCAAGCGGCGGCCAATATTATCCGCAAGGTACAAGGGCACTCGGCCCGCGAGCTGACCTGCATACGTTGCTACTAGAACGATACGTTCCAGAAGAGCCTAAAATGCATGCGATTGGTGGAGGATGGCGCGCTCGACGTTTCATCCCGACGCTCAGGCTAACGAAACGTAGCGGCGGTCACCCCCGGTGCCATGCGAGTCATGTGGTGTCACGCGACGAGTGCCTGGTCTTGGCTGTGCTCGGCTGACGTCTTGAGCCAAAACCGACAAAGAAGACTCGAGTGGTACTAGCCTCTTATCGAGTTGGTGGCGGTGATCCAGATCATTGAAGTGGGTACAGACAGAGCAAGGTGTCCATCTTTTTTGCCGTACCCTAAAATGAAAACAGGTTCGTCCTTTTGACGGCCTTTATTCGGAGTGGCCACCCTTGTGTCGCAGGTCATTCTTAGTCGTGGATTACGATCACTCGTGCCAAGTAGGCAAGAATCATATGTAAGGGATCTTATTCCTACTATCCATGAAGAAGTGGTGACATCGACACCGTATCCGAAGACTGATCCCGTGCCTCAAGTGTGCTTGGCGACGCACCTCTTACGCAGGCAATGTACAAACACGCGACCTATTTCCCCCCGCGCCCCATCCAACGTACGCATAATAGAAGCAATAGAAAACAAGTTTGCATGAAACAACTACTGGATCGCGACCGAAGCGTCTTTGAGAATCTTGATGTTGTAGGCGAACGTTGTCACATCGGTTAGGCCGGCATCCAACAAGTGAATATGGCCGTCGCCATCTTGTGCAACGATGCACTTGGCGTTGCCCTTGACTTCTTCGCTTGATGTTGTCAAGGTCACTGCCGACGTTTGAAGCATCTTTTTCTTGGCGCGGAGTTCCTTCTCGGGAAGACCAAAGCACCGCAAATGGTTCATGAAAAACCACTGCAGCGTACTGAGGCGGCGCGCCTTGCAGATGAGCAACGATCCTTGGCTGCCAACGTCCGAATCCGGTACCATGCCGTCGAGGTAACCGCACACGATCGAGCTGCTGTTGAAGATGGCTTGGCGCGCGAGCGAGTTTTTCGCCAAAAACGTCCAGTGCTTAAACCGAAGGACATGGTCGAGCGTCGTGATGCCAAGAATGTTAGCAACGAGGAGGAGGACGATTGAGGGAACGCAGCGAATGAAAAAACCATCGTATGCATCGACGTGGATTGGGTCGAGTATCTCGGCACTATGATAGAGCTCGATGCTGACGCTGTTGTTGTACGCGACAAACGACGGGACGAAAAAGAGAAGCGCGACGCTCACATACAAGGAAGTGACGCTCGACAAGTTGAGGTAGCCCATGAGACGACTCTCACCACTGTACGACGCCGTGCTCAGGACGCTCCATCCGATTTTGAGGAGCTTGAGAAAAAGACACGTGAGCCACAAGAGACGGACGCTAAGACCATAGAGCTGCAGCGAAATGCCAAATTGCGGCGAGAGCGAGTTGTAAAAGTGCATGTTGCGGATCGCGACAAACCAATTGCCCATGTCGAGAATGACACTTGTCGCCAAGACGAGGACAAAGACGTCGGAATTGTAGCAAAACATGTCGAAATTCAGCGCGAAACTCGGGTATGGAAAGTATTTCGGCGAAATGGTGCGCAAGATTTTGGCAAAGATCGAGTCCGTGACGGCAAGGTCGACTTCGCTCCACTGGACCGTCTTGCGACTGCCGAGGTAGCCACACACAGCAAACGTGATTGCGATTGCCTTGAGGTACTGCGACAATGACGAGAATGCGGATTTTGGGAGCAAAAAGCCGAGCTTGTAAATCGACTTGTCGATGTTGGCACTGCGCTGCACATTCATCGATGCAGTCGCGTCGTCATAAACCAGCGTGAGGTTGCACCGGCCATGTCCGAGCTCGACGATGGGCGTGAACCCGCTGCAAAAGCTACGTGGAAAGAGCCGGTAGTACGTGATCACAGCGTGTTGTGTTTGAGACGTGTTGGCAATCTTGAACGGATCCGACAAGCGCAAATCGGCCGCCATGCGTGCGGGCTTATAGCCCCGCGCCAAGAGGTCGCTGCTGCCCATATCGGGTGTCGCTAGGTCGTCGGACGCGTCCTTTGTAAAGAGGTGGCTCCACGCACTGCCTCGCACAAACGTGATCGAGTTGGTGACGGCAGCAATCTTGATTGCGTCAGCACCAAGCTTCATGTCGTACTCGCCTTGGAAAATGCTGCAGAGGTCATAAGTCGCGGGCATTTCGTAGGCACCGGCGGACACGATGTTGTAGTTGGTGTCGAGACTGTCCAACTCGGCCAGCGTCAAGTTGAGCATCCAGCCGCCGATTTGCGAGATGTCGGTGAGTCCCCGCTTGTGCACAAACGCGTACGCAGCCGAGATACCCGAAAAGTCCATGACGGTCGCGATCGGGGTTCGAAAGCAATGGCCATTGCCAATCGAGTCGTTTAGCGCCCAGTTGTTGGCTATTGTATCAACGGCCACGAGCACGAGCACCGCTGCACCAAGGACGGCGACAACGGCTCGGACCAGCTGTTGACCGCGGGGGGACGTCACGCTCAAGGCAAAGGTGCCACTGGCCGAGGGTCCAATCGGTGCAATCGTTGTACTGCTGCTGGTGCGCATGGGAAAAAGTTATGCCGGCGGCTGCATCAAGTGGTTCTATTCGTAGTGGCAGATTTATTTATTTAGCACTGGTGGGAGTGCCATCTTGAGTCAACGGCAACACACGATCGGTTTCACCAGAAACATGAAATAGAATCGAGCGATGCGTGCAATATATCCGGTCGGGTGCAAGACATCGTGTACTTTGCATCAAGTCCACACGGCCAATTGTCGTCGCACGTAGAGCGCTGCGGTTCAATCACAGGGCGGGAAAGGGCGGCGACGCGTTCCATCACTCGTTGACAATCCAACCCAAGGCAGCTGAGGCCCATTAAAATTAATTTTAAATGGTATGTTTTTTATTTGAAACGCATGTCAATGGAGCCCCATGTATTTTTACGTCCTCGGTGCAGTAGTGATCTGAAACAATCAACCCGAGCCGAGAGAGCAGGCAGTGAGCGCATGTACATCGGGACGGAGATGGAAACAAGTGACATGGAAAAGGACGTACGGGAACCCATTTCATTCGACACGAAAAAGTGTGTTGTTTGCAAGTATCCCCAACGATGGTCTTCAAGAAGCGATGATGTCGGTGTAGTATATTCTCACAGGAGGTGGGTTTCGCGTGGCGGAGTTTCGCTCCCACTTGGTCGTTTGACGCCCCCTTTCCACCTGCCTCGCATGCTTTTGCGCTGCTAAGCTCGTGTTGTGTTCTCGTCTGGGTTGAGTATTGCGCAGTGCTGCTGCTAAGTCTCTTATGTCGGATCCTGGATCGACCCTTGACACACTGTGGTCCGTGTGCATGAAAGTGGGTACGGCATGTAGGTCATATATTCTGCATTTTGAATGCCCACGTCTACTGAATCGCGACAGTCGAGTCTTTGAGAATCTTGATATTGTACACGAGCGCCGTCACGTCGTTGAGGCCGGCATCCAACAAGTGAACATGGCCATCACCGTCTTGCGCAATGATGCACTTGGCGTTATTCTTGACGTCTTCGCTTGACGTTGATGTCATCACCGCTGATGTTTGAAGCATCTTTTTCTTGGCGCGGAGTTCCTTCTCGGGAAGACCAAAGCACCGCAAATGGTTCATGAAAAACCACTGCAGCGTACTGAGGCGGCGCGCCTTGCAGATGAGCAACGATCCTTGACTGCCGACGTCCGTATCCGGCTCGATTCCGTCGCAGTAGTCGCATACGATCGAGCTGCTGTTGAAGATGGCTTGGCGCGCGAGCGAGTTTTTTGCCAAGAGCGTCCAGTGCCGGTGCCAAAGGACATGGTCTAGCGTCAAAATACCGAGCATGTTGAGAATCAGGAGGACGACAATGGCGGGAATGCAGCGGAGATAAAAGCCGTTGAACGCATCGATGTGGATCGGGTCGAGAATCTCGGACGTGTACAACAGTTCAATGGTGACGCTGTTGTTGAACTCGATGAACGACGGGACAAAAAAGAGAACCGCGGCGCTCAAATACAAGGACGTGACGCTCGACAAGTTGAGGTAGCCCATGAGTCGACTCTCGCCGCTGTACGACGCCGTGCTCAGGACGCCCCATCCGAGTTTCAGCACCTTAAGGAAGAGGCAGTTGATCCACAAGAGACGGACCTCGAGGGCATAGAGCTGGAGCGAAATACCAAATTGCGGCGAGAGCGAATTGTACACTTGCATGTTGCGCATGGCCGCAAAGCAATTGCTCATGTCGAGAATGACGCTGGTCGCAAACAGCAGCACAAACAAATCGGAATTGTAGCAAAACATGCGAAAATCCAGCGCTAAACTCGGGTATGGAAAGTACTTGGGTGAAATGGTCCGTAAAATCTTGGCAAAAATCGAGTCGGTTGCCGTATGATCGACTTCGCTCCACTGCACCGTCTTGCGACTGCCGAGGTAACCACCGAGCGCAAACGCAATTGCGATCGCCTTGAGGTAGTGCGACGCCGACGAGAATGCTGATTTTGGGAGCATCAAGCCGAGCTTGTAGATCGACTGGTCGATATTGGCGCTGCGCTGTACATGCATCGATGATGTGGCGTCGTTGTAAACCAGCGTAAAGTTGCAGCTGCCGTGACCGAGCTCGACAATGGGCGTGCACCCGCTGCAAAAGCTACGCGGAAAGATGCGGTAGTAGCTCATCACCACGTGTTGGGTCTCGGACGAGTTGGCAATGTTGAACGGGTCCGACAAGCGCAGATCGACCGCGAGGCGTGTGGGCACATAGTCCAACGCGACGAGCTCTTTACTTTTCATTGTGGACGTCGCGACGCCCTCGGACGCGTCCTTTGTTAAGAGGTGGCTCCACGCACTGCCACGCATGAACGTGATCGAGTTGGTAACGACAGCAATCTTGAACGCGTCGGCGCGAAGGTTGACATCGTACTCGCCTTGGAAGATGCTGCAGAGGTTCGTGGTCGCCGGAAGCGAATATGCACCGGCAGACACGACGTAGTAGTCGGTGTTGACACTGATAAACTCGTCCAGCGTGTAGTTGAGCATCCAGCCGCCGATTTGCGACACATCATCGAGCGCGAGGTCGTGGCGGAACGTATACGCCGCCGAGACGCCCGAGACGTCCGAGACGGTTGCGATCGGCGTCTTGAAGCAGTTGCCGTTGCCGATGTAGTCGTTCAGCGCCCAGTTGTTGGCGAACGTGTCGACGGCCACGAGCAGGAGGATCGCTGCACCAATGACGACGACGGCCGCACGGTAGAGCTGCCGTAAATGGATCGACGCCGCGCTCGTGGCTAAGACGCCACTAATCGTCGGTCCGATTGGCACGACCACAGTGCTGCCACCGCTCCGCATGGGTGAGAATAACTTTGGGCTGCCGTTTTCAAATTGCCATCGGTTACCCGACTCCTATTCCTAGCAGGGACGCCATCTTGCGAAACGAGTCCCACGTTGACACCATGGGCTGTAGCAACGACGTCACGACGCTCCTTGGATGTATACAGCCGTGGTTTCGTCGATGTCTACTTGCGACCACCTCGACGCAGTGTCGTGGGCGATGCCACGGAACGTACAAGCGCCCAAATACTGAGCAAATACTGAACACGCACCATAGGCATATATTAATGTACACGCGTCATTGAATGACGACGGTCGTGTCTTTGAGGATTTTGATGTTGTAGACGAGGGGCGTGACATCCGCGAGCTGCGCGTCGAGCAAGTGCACGTGGCGGTCGCCGTCTTGCACCACCATGCACTTGACGCTTGTCGAATCTTCCGAAGTCGTTGTGACGGACGACGTTTGAAGCATCTTTTTCTTGGCGCGGAGCTCCTTCTCGGGAAGGCCAAAGCAGAAGAGATGGCTCGTAAAGAACCACTGGAGCGTACTGAGGCGGCGCGCCTTGCAGATAAGGAGCGAGCCCTTGCTGTCGACGTCATGATCGACTTCGATGCCGTGCAGGTAGTCGCACAAGATGGAGCTGCTGTTGAAGATGGCTTGGCGCGCGAGCGAATTCTTGGCCATGAGCTGCCACGACTTGTAGTACAGCGTGTGGTCGAGCAAAAGCACACATGCGAGGTTGATCACGACCAGCGCCATAATGAAGGGCACCACGCGGAGGTAGAAGCTGTCAAAAGCAAGCACGTGGATGTCATCGAGGTTCTGGACCTTGTGGTTGAGGTCGTGGATGACGCTGTTGGAATACTCGATGAACGGCGGCACGTACATGAGCGCGATCGCGCTGATGTACAAGGACGTGACGTTGGTCAAATTCAAGTACCGCATGATCTAATTTTCAAAAATAAAAACCAGTGTACAATATGGTCTCAAAATTATAGAAAAGAAACAAGCAACATACCTTGTTTTCGCCATTGTACGTCGACGTCACGACGAGGTTGCACAAAATCTTGAGCAGCTTGAGCACGGCGCAATTGATCCATAAGAGCCGGGTGCTGAGCGCGTACTGCTGAATGTTGTACACCATATTCGGCGATGGCGCGTTGAAGAGATTGATGACGCGCAGGTACATGAGGCAGTTGCCAATGTCCAGGAGCACGCCGGCCGCAAACAAAAAGACAAACAAGTCGGAATTGTAGCAAAACATGTCGAAGCGGAGCGCCAAACTCGGGTACGGAAAGTATTTTGGCGAAATGGTCCGCAAGATTTTCGCAAAGATCGAGTCGACCATGGAACTATCGAAATCGGCCCATTGGACCGTGCGGCGGCCCGCGAGGTACCCCCCGACGGCAAAAAAAAATCGCCGCCAACTTGACATAGTGAGACGCCGACGAGAAGCCCGACTGCGGCAAGAGCACCCCGACCTTGTACATGGAGCCAAAGTGGTTGACACTGCTGGAGATATGTACTTGCTTGGTCGTGTCGTTGTACACAAATGTCATGTTGCATTGGCCGTACCCGAGCTCTGTCACTGGCGTGCATCCGGTGCAAAAGCTCCGTGGCGAAATCTTGTACCACGAGACGAGGAGGTTCTGGGCGGTAGAGACGTTGGCGACGACAACACCAGTCGTGAGCCGCATGTCCGTGCCCGTGCGCCCGGGGACATATCCAATGTCTCGGAGCTGACCATCGTTCATGCTCGCATTCGGCAGATTCGTCGTCGCATCCGAATGGAACGCATGCGAGAACACGTTGCCTCGAAAGTACGTCGCCGTGTTGGAAGCAATGCCAAAATGCGCGGTCGAGGACGCGGCCACGTCATGCGGATACGTCGCTTTAAAGATCTTGCACTGGTCGATGCTAGTCGAGAGCGGAAACGACCCGACCGAGAGCACGTAGAGATCCGAGCTCTTGGTCACCATCGCGTGCACGGTGTAGTTGACCATCCAAAACCCGATTTTGGACAAGTCGTCCAATCCGCTCGTTCTCGGAAAGCTGTACTGGGCCTCGAGGTCCGCCGCGTGCGAGACCGTCGCGATCGGTGTCAAGAACGCGTACCCGTCGCCGACAAACGAGTTGATTTCCCAGTTGTTGGCAACACTGTCGATCGCGACGAGTAAGACGATCACGAAGCCAATGAGAACGTCCAGTCGCCGCAGAAAGGCGTCGAGACGGGGTCGCTGCTTGGAATAATGGACACCGTGGGACATGGGTCCGATGCCCATCACCGGCGTTGGCAGCGTGGCCGACGACATGAACGGCATGCTCGTCTTGTGGAAGGCGCGGCGTGATCGATTATGACGCCGTGTCGTCGTCGGTTGTTCAGCTAATTTTGGCAAAAAAGGCGGCCAGCGATACGCCAACGCCCGTTCCAACGACTTCGCTCATCGACGCACGGAGTGTCTTTGACGATCCGTTGCCGTTGGTGTCTTTCGTGTCTGGTGCTACTGCTAGTCGCTACGTCGAGAGAGAAGACAGAGATCTTGAACCCAAGGAAACAATTGTGCACGTATGCTGCGGTGTGAAGCAGATTCACTGGCTACCTTTTGTAACTGTGGTATCCGTGTACTGAGGCATGGCGCTTTGTACCCTTCGTGAAAGCAACGATCGTGGAGCACCTGACGAGGCTTCGACACGTCGTTGCACCCCGGTGTACAACGCGACCATTTTGCACGTTCGGGCAGACA